GGCGGCCGATCTCCCAGGCCGGTGCTACTCGACGGCCCTCACCGCTGTACTGGAGCCCTGTTATCCCCCCTGGACCGGCGGGGGTGATCCTGGTCCACATCTGGCAGGGGGTGTAACTGCTGAACCCGTGGAGAAAGCATGCAACACATCATACGGCGGACACCATGCGGCACCCTCACTCAGTCGAAAAACGGATTGACCTGCTGTCCAGGCTCAACAAAATCTTTGATAACTTCTGGCAGAAACTAGAGGACAGGAGGCACCAGACTGACCCAGCACAGCCGCAGGTACACTCACCTCAACAACAGATTGCACCTCCGCAGCGAACACCCACGGCCTGGCGAGGACGAAGGCTCCCATCCCTCCGACAGCGGATGGCACGCAAGCGGAAACTACTCCAAGCCAAAGCCAGGACTCAAAGTGCCCAAGAAGCGCCAGAGGTGGCTTAAAGCAGGAGAGCATGGTGTAACGGTAAAGTACTTAAACACCCCGAGCCAACCCATATTGATGCCCGACTGGACCTTACTGGGCTCAAAGGCTCTGTGGAGCACCTCAACATTCTGGGACTATGCTCTGCCCCAATTAGGGGTAGGCTGAGAGGGGATCCCGGACCGGACACCAAAAACAAGACACCACTCACCTTTCCTCCCCTCACGGTGCCTTTCTGAGTGAACTGCCTCTCCACACTCCCTACTCCCTGGATATCTAAAGTATCATTTCTGTAGGCCTGGACTCACACACCTAGTTGCCTCGTACCTGGGGGCCTCCTACCGGACTCACGATACCTAATTAAGCATAGTTATAGCACCCCAGTTAACACCCTGTACCTTATCGTGATAACTCAGACACACACACAGCGTTTCTCCAAAGCTAAAAGTTTTTATTGCAAGCCATACTGTGTACGTCTTTTACTCCATCATATTTACTCACACAGTGTCAGGCTAGATAGCATGTACCCAGCAACTTTTATGCATACTACTGTTCTGACACATCTTGAGCCGGTTTAAATTCTCATAAGCTTGTTTCACTACTGTTCACTCTTCTTAAATATATATAAAAAAAAAAAGTGCACTGTTTAACCATGCCATACAACTGTCCTCTTATGAATATGGAAACCCTGGCAGAAGCTGTTGTGGCATTGCTGGTGTAAATGTATCTTGTCTTGTCTTAACTATGCATGACAAAATAAAGAATAATAATAAAAAAAAAATTGCAATTCAAAATTCAGGCATACATTGTATAACTATCCTCATATTTATGTTACTTTAAACTAAATTTACTTTTGTCATCTGTTGTACTGGAGTGAAACAAAAACATATTGTAGGACAGGCCTTCCACTTTAAATTCAATGCACCCTTTTATTGAGGAGACCACATATAACACTTTTTTCATTATAAATAGCTTAAATCTATATGGCTTCTAAGCAGATATAAGCTTTATTTTTTAATATTTAATCAATAGAAATAATCCACGAAAAACGTCATCATCATTTACAAAATTCAAGACTTGGTTTACAATTGATCTCATCATATAACCAATCTGATACAAAATATTTTATAGAATGTTATGTCAATTTATTGCACTAGAACATGTTTGAATGCACCACTGCTTTTCAGAATCACCAATTGTAGAATCGTTAGAAAAGCTCTGCTAGCCTTTAGTGAACATTGTTTTGTACGTGATTCATCCATGTAAGAGAACATAGAATGCAATTTTTGCACATGGTAATTTGCAGACATGTTATCAACTTTAAAAAGCAGTCCGATAGAATTACAGATGTAACCCTACTCGTATTGCTCAAGTTTTTTTCACAACATACATTTATCACAAGGAACAATATACTATAAGTCTGTATTATTGCAGGTATAAAGAAAATAAATCATGACATGCCTATCAGTCAATGCTTTTTGAGCATACTTCACAAAATTTATTAAAACTCATTGAGTGCACGTGAGTGAATTTAAAGTGTTCAACAAGTTCTCACCAGCTGGGTTCTGCATTAGCCCAGGTGGTGCAATATTTATATCTGCAGTATTGTAGCTGATCAGTCTTGATTACCAGTGTTGGAAAAACAAGTGTATGGTAAATGTTTTCGCTAGGAAACTACGTCAATGCATAAAACACTTAAATCACCTATAACTCGTGATAGCATTTTATTTATTTTACAGATGATGTTCGGATTTCTACTAAATGCATATTAAAAACTTAAAAGCCATCGCAGTCCAATTCAATCTTGCCACAAACGACCAGGGCATGCATTGGAAGAAAGACAGAAAGATTGTTTTACTTTCTATATGCAATTTACAGGTATATTTAATAAGTAATTCATCTTAATGTTTATTAAATAATGAAATTATTGAAAATATTAATAATTTTTATAATTAAACAGAATTGTTGTAAGTTTATAGGATAAACTACACTCGGAAGGGCTTCATCTGCACTAACACACATCATTCAACAGCCGTGAGAATGTTACACTGTGAAAGTGGAACTGTATCAATATTCTCTTTTTAATAGTTTCGAAAGGCCCAAACACATATTCATCCCTGAGCAATCTTCTTTTAAAATGAACTGACTTTTAAACATCAACAAGGCACACATTCATTACTATGTGAACTTTTCTGGCTACTTAACGTGTTCATGTAAATACAGTCGCTTGCATTTAACGTTTTGGTCTTTAAAGGGGCAACAAGACCTGCTTTTAGAAGAAGGTAGATGAAACCCTGCAAATCAGTGAATTTTGCCAACCGAAAGCTGAGTGACACGGAAAGCAAATCATTCATTGCGGGGGAGAAATCTGTACCCATGATTATTCTTTTCTGTAAACAGTATTACTAAATGTTCCTTTAATTGTGCGATTGTGGGGCTGTGCTTTTATTACAAGTTATCTAAGAATTATTTTTACTCCTACACAGACATGCAGTAAGCTGCTAGTATACAGGGTAAACTGGCAAGCACACCTTATCAACACAGAATAGAGAGCAGCAAAGACTATGTTTTAACCCTTTGATCTGTAGCAATATTAGTTCCTCAGATGGAAAAACAAAGTTAGCAAGATATGTTACTATCAAATACAGTATAGCAAAATACTACTGACATATAGATAAGCATTTATATAAAAGAGTAAGACCTTTAAAAAAATTAAATGGCTAATCACTGAAATTACATTTATAATCATAAAATTCACAATAAGTATACCAGAATGTTAAAGGTAAACTGCTGTTAGACAGAACTAACCAACTCTAGCACAAATTAAATGAGTTGTTTTGGGCTATCCAAATAGAGATTGTGACACATCCAAGAATGCTTTAAAGTGCACCAGTCATGAACATAACATTTTTTTTTCTGTTTAAAAATATCACATATCAAATAAAATTCCACATCCACACTGTCCTAGGTAAACTGCAAGCATATGCATAGGTTTACTTTTTTCAAATATTTATTTCTGTATTTTGACTGTAGTACCATTGCAGTCTTTACCACAATTACTCTGCCCCTGGGCAGCTAAGTGTGTAACCACCCATCTTGGAGGAAGAAAAGATCTTTATGTAAGCATATTTTTTTCACCCAAATATTTCTGAGAATTTTGTCATCCAGTATTCTAGAATGCGACAAGCTCATTTAAGATATTGGGGTGTCATTCACTTAAAATATATTCTAATACTATACTTAACATAGGCCATCTTACAGCAAGGAGAGCTAAGAGACAGACAAACAAATGAAATTAATGTTACTCTCCTCTAAATCAGGTTTGATATTGATACTCTTTAAACATCACTTATTTAAATACGAATAAAAAAATAATTGGAAATATCTTGTATTGCTAAAGGCAGGGGGATTAGACTTGTAATAAGAGGAATGGATGCCAAGAGATGTAAATGGTGCTACTATAAGTTATGATACATAGCTTAAAAATAGATTTAGAAATCCATTTGCAATTAACTATACAGCAGCAGCATATAAGGTTAAGAACAAAATTGATGATGGGAATTAAGAGATTTAATTTAGTGCACTGTTAAATGTGCAGTCCCTCTTCAGGTTATTTAATACTAAATGGCTAGAAGTAGGTTTGATTTTCTCATAGTTTTAAGGAGTTACTCAGAGCACCATTTCCACTTCAATGACTTGGAGTCTGTATGTACAGCATTTCGCTATGAAAAAATACACACACTGAATTTAACTTCTCTGCTGCAAGAGGTTTAACTTGGTAGTACCTGTGGGGTGTCACTAGTCAGCCTGAGAGTTTCGGCTGGCTAATGCCAATTCTGTGCATATTTCAATTCATTGGCTGGGAGTAGTCAGCTGACATTCTCCGCCAATGAATGGCTCGTGGGACAGACACCCAGGTTCCGCAGAAGCTGCATGCACCATCACTGGCTAGAGAGGACCCTAGGCGTCCAGTGGACACCCAGGTAAGAGGGAAAACCAATTGCAAAAAAACGATTTGCCCCATTACTGGGAAACGTGGCCAGGGGACTCCTGGCATTATAACCACTACAGGGGTTATGATAGTTGGGATAACCCCTTAAGGTCACTATTTTTGAACATGCAATATCTTTTTGAACTTTGTTTTCAAATAACACAGCTCAACATAAACTGATCCTAGTTTGAATTTGCTAAAAACATTAGCAAGATCATCAATTATCTGTGTAACAATGATCTACCAATACTGACTGAGATAAAAGTAGTTTCTCTTTTCTCTTAATAACAAGTGCACTTTATTTTCTCAAAATAACTGTTCAATTCTTGCAACTTTTTAATTTCCTTCTGAAATATTCTGGAGCTGTCTCAAACAGCCAGTCTGCATCCACAACACACAAGTCTCTCATGTAACATTTAGATGTATGAAGGAGCTCGTTGTAAATGACACAGGCTGGCTTGCAGTGGAAAAGAACTGAAGAAGGATGGATGGCAACAGGTTGGTGAGTGTCCACTGTGGTGTAGGTTCCATCAGGCTGCAGCTCTGCTGCATTCATAAACAGGCCGTGAGCCAGACACTGGCGGATATTTCGAGTGTCTGTTCTTGAAGACTCAATGGGCATTGATAGCTGTAAAATAAAGACAAATCAGATTCACTGTATTGGCATGGATATAAAAACCAAATATGGTAGCGACAGAAGCTTCTTGACAGTTTTTATTGTATTTACTTAAGGGGAAAGCATATGTGAATTTATTATTACAGATCAAGATGATGTTTTAACACATATCTCCCATCGTTAAGTAGGATGGGAGATGTGTTAATATACTTTACATCTGATTATGTTAGACATAACTTGTTTAGAAGTTTATATACTGAGAATAAAGGGGTATATACACATCTGTACATAAATAATACAAAAATAGTCAATAAATGTAGAAAAACAAGTAATATGAAAAAATTTGCATAAGACACAAATGGTTATCATCAAAATTAACGTACAAATACCATAAGGAACGTTTTGCAGCCGTCCAATCATAATATTCTTCTGTTATGTTCCGATTTCTGGAATACATGTTTGTTTGTACTGAAAACACATGCATACAAATCAACATGAAAAGGGGAGCAAATACCTTTATACAAATGTCCCTGAGCTGGGAACGGACCTCTGAAACCAGCAGCATATTCCTGGAGTTGATGAAGTTCTCTCTGCACCATTCCTACAATTACAAATGTAGAACACATTAAAAGGTATATACCTAATAAAACAAGATCGAAGTACATTTGCCGTCCTGATAAAAATGTGATACAATTTCAAAACTGAAACTGGTGAAAAATGGTCCCATCAAATGGTAAATATAGCTTCATTGGTATAGTTTGGTAAGATATAAATAATCTTTTTGGAAATATACTGTCTGAACAATGTTACAAAACAATGTAAAGGATTTTACCTTATTTTTACCCAGGTTTTTGAAGGCGCGATATGTGTTGAGCAAAGTGATATGGTCACCTTCACTAGAAATGAACTTCTTCCTAGAGGCTTGTACTTCATCACGTTTAGCAGGAGGGTTATGGAGAACACTGTCCACTGACAGCAGAGAGACTATTGTCAAAATCTCTTCAGTGCAGTGAAAGTTTGAGGAAACCAGGATAGTCTGTAAGGAGAACAGCATTAGAGTGCTTAGTGATATAATAGATAACGTTTTTTTTTTTGGTTTTTTTTTAAAGTCTATATTTTTGAGTGCAGAGTAAATTACAGGCATAAACACTGACTTGTTCAACGCATGAGATCATCATTAACAGTTGGTATGGGTAGTCACGAGATGCTGTACTTTTTTTTTTTTTTTTTTAAACAAGTTTGAGATATGAGGAAGACAAGAAAATGATATAGTGATGATTTGCATAACTGATTAAGCTAAGCATACACATCTATTCGCTTTACCAAGATTAAGTTTATGCACAAAATACTTGCTAGATATGAAAGGTTGCTTGATGCAAATATATAGCAGTAGCTTTACCAACAGGCTAGTGTAGTTTGGTTATAATTGGTATTCAGGCTAGGTCTTGTGATGTCGCTTTAATGCCGTTTTCATCCCGGCCGTTAGGAACTACCAGTGCTGCCTCAGTGGGGAGCAGTCGTGGTGTTGCTGAGACCTCAAATACAGGGGGAGTTCCGCTGCTATCTGATACCTGCTCTGTCCGTTTCATGCAGCAGTGGGTGAGTGTCCACCAGAACAGGCAGCAAAACACAGTCCAGCCCTGCCGCTCTCTGAGCCGTTCGCCGGCTTCCCTGGGGTTGCAGCTGTGGTACGGAGTGCTTGTCCCGCTTGGTCCCCTGGGGACCGGTGTCAGCCGCGATGGGGGGTCCGGCATCATCCACACACGGCTGCCGCTGCAGGGGTCGTGCTGTTGCAGGCAGAGTGGGAGGTCTGTCTCGCAGCTGAGGTGACACGCTTGGTGGTAGACTCGGTACCTCCATATGGCAATGGCCGGTCTGTTGTGTAGCCCCATCCCCCCAGGGCAGCCGCTGACATCGCTGACTTGAGTGGCTGTGTTAGTGGGTAAAGGTAATCCCGCTTCCCTGTATAGCAGGGTCTGGAGGCAGGGGTTGCAGTGTCAGCTGTGAGTGCGGGGAGTGAGCTGTTTTTCCCCATGTCTCCTGTGCACATGGAGTCCGCCATCTTAGGCATGGCTGTTAGGCCCCCTAGCTTCAGCCGCCATGTCTTCTTTAGGGCCTTGGGGTGAGGACCAGGATCACCCCCACTGGTCCCCACTTAGCGTGCATGCTGCCATCCAGCTTGGCGGTCCGGCCCTCCCTGACCCCCCAGGTCTCTATCATTGATAGAGGAGAGATAGGGGAGGGAGAGCTGCTTGGCAGCAGTAACCCACAGAGAATCAGGAACTACATATACATCTAACCACTCAATATATTCAGGGGCTAAAGAGATCAGGAAGCAGAACAGGGCAGAGCAGGCAGCTCATTGCCCCGAATAACTCACTCTGTATTTGCTATAGAAGCTTGCAGTCACAGACCCTGCATGATTTGACCATTTGCTTCCCCCCCGCCCTCGACACAGAGCATAGTGGCATAAGGTATAGGTAGAGATATTTGAACAAATATTTAATTTTTAGTGTGTGTTTATGTTATGTATGCATCTGTGAATGTGTGTTTATGTATTTGTTTGTGTGCGTGTTTATCTATGTGATGTCTAGAGGCATATCTTGCAGGTGTTAAAGGATAGCGTTTGGACCTTTGGGAAGTGGTCCAAAGCCCCAAGTATCATTTGACACTAGCAATGCCCCTGGAATAAAACCATGAAAACCATCTAGAACAGCGTTTAATCATTTTTATGTGATGCTTGATTTCCTTTTAAATTTATATTGAAGATTTAGTAAATTCCATCACAACCCTGTTTATTTAGACACAGCCAGGGTAATACAGCAAAGCAAGAAAAATTAAGAAAGGTTTCTCTCTCTATGCTGGCTGCCAGGTACAAAAGACAGACCTCGTAAGGACAACGGGAGCAAAGATGGAGGTGCCCAGTTGCAGGATAAAGCAGTGCGGATTTCTACACTTAATTACACTTTTCACACTTCAGAAATACATATTTATAAAAAGTAAATATACTATCAGAAATTCTAGGGAAATGTCACTTTGGCTATGCACTAGCCAATTTATCCATTAATATGTATTAATAACAATAAAAAGTAAAAATCTAAATCACACACCTTTCCAAAATGACAATCAAGTGGCCTTCCCTATGCTATGCAGCTATTGGTGAGAGTCAAAAATCAGACATTTGGCGTTCAAGAACAAACGTACATTTTGTCAAGTACTTTATTTATATACTAGGAATTGTGTAAACCTGACAAAACAATTGCAAAATTGTGGAGATGGAAAGGATTTCCAAGTACACTATAGATTTTGGATATCTTGGCCTAAACGAAAACTTTTTTGTCAGTTCTCCACAGGTTCTAGTTTACTGAATACACCCCACTATGTAGAGACATGCTAAGGAGTTGAAAACAAAGTAATACTACCACAGCTACCTTGGAAAACTTAGGCTCTAATGGAAAAGCAGCCATCTTCCTCCCCAGTGGTGTTAGGATGACCTGGTCCTCTTTCCTTTCCACAGCACCCAACAGATCCAGCTGCTCAATGGCAGCCCGTACAGAGTCTGTGATATAAGCAAACAGGTTTAAAGCCACTATTAACTTTGTGTACTGCAATGTCCACAAATATCAAAAAAACATTTCTATCAATGTACTTTATTTCAAAAACAGACAAAAAATATTTTGAAAAAAATTTAAAATTGCTTCTCTCTCATTATGGTACTTTCACCAGTGAAATGACAGTAAAAAAAATAAAAAATAAATAAAAATGAATTGCTGACTGAAAAGAAAAAAAAATGTCATCCCGCAATTTAATAGGAGCTTACGAACAGTAAAGTACTACATAGACAAGAACATGACAGTAGCTGGAATGCATTTTTGAAGAATACTGGTGTAAAGGGTTAAGCAGGTATTGGCTTGTATATGATTAATGCTTTGTACATACTCACCAGGAGAGGGCTTGGACATGAAATCAAAGGTAAGGATATTCGGTACTCTCAAGACAAGAAGCTGCAGCATCACACTGGCGAGATTACACCTGGAAAAACACAGAAAAACTTTCACAAATGTCCACTTTAACATTCTATCTCACTGAAATCAAGGCATTTGTTTTCAGTTTCAAAAAAACAAGCATTAACTTTGAAAAAAAAATTATGGATTCCTAATCATTTCTTTATTTTTTAAAGTTGCATATAGCAATCCCCTTACATAGGAATATATTACACACACAGAAAAAGTGAAAACTCTAAATAGCTTTAATACATACCTCTGTATCTCGGGAATGGTCATTTTCTCAAGCATATCAAACTCGTCTTCCGTGTAGAGTCTATAACATATCCCACTGTCCTCTCGTCCAGCTCTCCCTGTGCGCTGCCAAGCTTGTGCTTTAGAAGTTTTCTGAACAGCTAGCACCTCAAGACCACTCTCTAGGAAGACATGGAAAATAAATCAGTTGTATTGTTAAGACATTCATTATATAATGTTTGCAGAAATCTCAAAATATTTAAATTAAAAAATAAAACAAAAAAATTCCAAATGTAAAACACTGTCCCAGGGATGCTCAAAAAATAAGTAGGATATAGAGTCCAACAAAGAATATCTAAAGAGACATCATAGGGAAAGAACAGTAAACAGACTAATCTCCACAAAAAGGAATTTTGGAGATGTTAACTAAATGTTTACCCACTAAACCTGGTAATGTTCCCCAATAGAGGGCTCTAAAGGATGTGCAGTCATTCCTCAACAGATTGTTTAAATGTGGGATGTAAATCAGAGTAACAGGAGTCATAAATACCAAAATCTGTAAACAACAGCTCTAAATAACATCACTGTAGCAATTGTCATCGATAAATCCTGAGACTACCCCAGTACATTCTGAAGAAAGGTGTGAATAGGTATAACGATAGAGTAACAGTGTCATTAGATATACCCTACAATCCCGAGTACATGTAGAAACAGACTATCTTACATGGGTGCATTGAGAGAGAAAATCGCTCTAGTTACACCCAGATTCTAGGCACACACTAGAAGGTTGTGTGCCTACATACACCCCTACTACTAGACAATCAGAAATGCAGGGCAGAGAACTTGGAATAAGTGTGCATTAAGTGCTACTGTTGTCCAACAAGCATTTCGTCAGGGACACCCCTTGCATATATGTCTGGTCATTTGTATTTTAAATATAAGTGTTGTCTCAAAGATTTTATTATTTTCTTTAGCCTTCCTTCCTACTATCCAAACTTTACCCTGGAGTAACATTTATTTTCTTTTTTCCCCCCTTTCTGGTTCTAGATTCATGTGGTGTTTACCCTTGCGGCCTTGCTTACCTTCTCCCTGCACTTGGTAGTGTCCTCTTCTTCCTAACCTAATATTTAACATATGTGATATTTATTTCATTACATTTCTTCCTATGATGGTAAGACTATTATCTTAGATGTGTTTTTTCCCTGAAGGTCTTTTAAGTCAGAATGGGTAATCTTCCAGCATATTTGTAATTTTCCTCATACAGGCCGCATATTTACACAATAACTTTTATACGAGACACAATTTGAAGAAAATCATGTGTATGGAGAATATACAAAGGATGACTGTGACAGCGCTTGAGTTATGGAATCATACCTGGGTTGTATTTCTTTGCCTTCACCACGCCTGTATCTACCACATACTTAATTCCTGGAATTGTAATAGAGGTCTCTGCAATGTTGGTGGAAAGAATGACCTTGCGGTGACCCTGATAAAGATAAAAAAACACCATAATTTAATTTGCATTCTGACATCCAAAAACCAGTGTTTTTGTGTACTGTTGTACTGCACTGAGTGTACTGTTTGCACTTTGGTCTAAATTAAAGAGTTACAAACACATTAGTTACAGAAAAATAAAAACAAACCACAAGGCCATTAATCAACCTGGAATGTGCTGTGCTGCCTCATTAATACTCTACTGAGATGTACACAACAGACAGCAGAAATTCCATTCCTAGAGAATCACAACATTGTCAACATCCAATTTTTAAATTCATGGTCAATTCATGCTTCTTTCTTACCTTACTTTCACTCTTATTCTCCATCATTAGTGAAGCGCTGGAAACCGTAGCAGGGGAAAATGCCCCTTGGTCACTAGCATACTGGTGGGCAATAGCCTCAGAGCACCACCCTTTTGCTGAATTAACGTAGCAGGAGGTGAGTTGGAATGTCTATTGATAGAATACTGCAGGAAAGAGTTAGCGGAGTAAAACAGTCATCATTGATGGGACACGAGTCAGTGAAGTTGCAAATTGTGCAACTATTGAAGGATGATGAAGGTTTGCAGGGATAGATGGTGTCATACTCTGCAATTCTATCAGGAATTAACCAACAAATAATGCTGCCATGGTTTGCCAGGCAAGTAAAATTAATACTTACAGTCATTTTATCTTCCTGGATATTATCTATGGCTGCATTGGTTTTTCTTCCATATGTGTTTTAGTGTTACACAGACTAGGGGCCAAAGTGGAGGTAAGTGATATAGGAAAAAAATAAATGCAAATTTACCCAACTAAAGAGGCAGAGCTAACCTACAGTTAACGCTGCCATTGAGAATTGTCAGGAAAGGAAAATTAAGGCAAATATGACTACATTTGTATTAAATAAAATCCATGTAGTTTTCTGGAAATATTATCCCAGACTGTTAATAGACTGCTGTCACAGTCTAGTCCTTGGAGGTGTAAAGCCAGCAAGGATTGGCCTGCCTGCTTAACATCAGCAGATGTTAAGCAGCATAGAGTCAAGCATTTCCTTCTGGAAGAATTCTTTTTAGAGAAAGATTGTTGACAACATTCTTTGGTGTTTAAAAGGATAACTATTTTCAGCTATCGTCCAATATCGTTCTTAAACAGAGATTTTAAGTTCTTGGACGACATGTAAGCAGCAGGCCGCGTGGTCCAAAATGGCGCTGGCCAACGACCTCTAGGAGGAGGAGTTTGCCTCGGATTTCTTGGAAGGAGCATCTTTTGGGCCCATGCCATACCGCAGAATTAAACCACAGAAAGCCGGGGACCCGGTCAATGCAGACCAACTTAAAAAGATGCTGGCGGAGCTAGTCAAAGACCTGACGGTAGACATGGACTGCTATAAAGAGGCCATTGAAGGGGCCGCGTCAAAAATCACACTGCTGGATGCTTGCTCAAGTACTCACGACACCAGAGTCACCAAGGTAGCAGACCAACACATCAGATAGATTGGATGCTTTAGAAGATCAGAGAAGGCGTTACAACCTGAAAGTCCAGGGGATACCAGAGTCAGCTGAAATCGCTGACCTACCCCACTACATAAGGTGCTTTTCTTGGAGTGTTTCTCCCACCAAAGCAGGTGAAATCCTTGAAGCTGGATGGTAAGTTCCGGCTACCAAAGCCAGCCAGAGCGCCAGCAACTGCAGACCTCATACTTGGATTTCAAGCCCTCCCAGATAAAGCCTCAGTCCTTGCCGCTCTGCGAGGGAAACCCTCCCCCTGCTGATTGAGGGCTCCTCGCTAGCAGTATTCACAGATCTCACCAAGAGCACCCTAACTTGGCGGAAATCATTGCAGCCTCTCCTGCAACACCTTTGTGCCAGAGAGATTTCCTACAGATGGTAGACACCACGAGCTGTATTGTTTACTCTTAATGGGACTTCCTACAGAGATATCAGGAGCTGCAATCGGACCTAAAATCAACGGGTATACTGCAGGCCTTACTGCCAACTGGAATAGGCCTGTCCCGGCTGAACTCGGCAGCCATTCGTGAATTTACTCCGAGAGAAAACCAGAGAGCCTCACCTGTCAGGCCACCCACCTGAGGAAGTAGAGGCTGATCCACCCAAGCGGACTCTGAATTCCACCATTATCATACAACATGTCTACCACAGAGTTTGTTTCGGTTTTTTTTTGTTCTTTTTAATTTTTCTTTTCTCGTTTTTTTTTTCTTTTTTGCCAAGTTTACTTTCCTTGCAAAGTTTAACAACCTAATAGGCGGTTACTCCACGTAGTCTCATAGGCAAGCACAATGAGCTTACAACAAGCGGAAGCTTTACCACTTAGTGACTAATGCTAAACGCACCTCATTGCCAAGTATCCACACTATTATCTTTCCCTCCCACTCTCCCCTGCCGGTTAAAAGATTGGCCCCTCTACACTACTCACATAGTCTTTGGGCAAGGGGTAAACCGCTCTGTGGTTATCACCTAAACTGGAGATTCACACAGGGCTAACTGGCTGTTTTATTTTACTACATCTTTCATAATGTACTTAAATAATATAAAATTTGCAATGTTACTGGATTCCTACAAATGTCTCTTGTGACGGAACGCCTGCCACCCCGACTGGGTAGATCAGTCAAACGATGCTCCAAGTGCTCGCCAAGGACCATCAGCACCGCACTCAACACCACAACCACTGCCAACCCCACGAACCGCCGCAGCTTGGTTGGGGTTTCGCCGTCCTCCACCCACCCTGGACCCAAGACCGGGTTCCAGCTTCCAGTGGGTGAACCTCTCCTAAATCCAGAGAGCGGGAACAAGGAACAGCTCTTACAAGAGCTTACTCTGGGGAGTATAGTGATTATAGCAGTGTAGGCAATTCTCCAATCCCCCCAAACATGAGCCAAGACTTCATGAAGGGGTAAGCAGGTCTGTTTACTGAGCACAAAAGGCCTTTCTTTTATACACATTTTCCAACAAGGTTACCACCCACGTGGACCTTGTGGTACACAGGACACAGGGCTACAACAGCCAATCAATACAGTACAGCACAGTCAGACAGACACTCCCAGCTAAGGCACACAAACCCTCCCCTCTGCCTGTTAATTATCACAGGCAGAAAATATACAGTTTTACACAATATTCATAACTTCAAAACTATACATGTAATTTTAATAAAAGTTATATTTTCCGAACCAGCATAATCAGTAAACAAACATATTCAAAAGTCATACGACTTGGTCCAGTGGTTCGGAAGATAGCTGGAAGTCATATTTGATCGACTTTAAGCATGGCTTTCATGCCCAAAACAGTTACACAGATTTAGGCTGTGCAGCCGGTCTATATTCTCCTCTATCCTGGAGATAATTGGCTTAAGTGAATGTGTGGTATGTCAATTATCTCCAGGTACAGGAAATATCTCCAAGTACAAAAACTACATAAAAATACGTAACTTTTTAACCTATATGTTCAAATTATCCCAAGATAGCGTGGATCTGAGCGCTCAATATGTCCGAGATGCGCTCAGATCTCACGAATACAGTTGGAACACCATGTGGTTAAGCAATAGCAAGGGCTGATGAGAGATTGAGGAGGGACAAAGCAGCCAGTTTCAACTGGTCTGGCAGTGTCCCTGGGACAACGCCCTGCTGGAGAACAAAAGGACAGGAAAACGGTGGAAGGGGAAGAGGCACATTTTCCACTTGGAAGTCATTTTTAAGCATGTCTTTTTGCAGGGCCCATATTCTTGGGGCAGAAATAGTGTATTAAAACCCATAAGCCCAAATATACTTTTTAAATGGCAATACACCCCAGGGGCCATAGTCACAGGGCAAAAGGCTGGCAAGCAGGCCTCTCCAAAAGTCAGTGGCAAAGCGTAGTTCGTTACATCTCTGAATGTTGATAATTAGGCTAGCAACAGCTGTTGTGGCATTGCTTGCCTCTCTGTATTCTATATGCACGACAAAATAAAGATTAAAAAAAAAATAAGATCAAAGAGGATTTGTCCCCAGTAGAGACGCAAAAGATAATATGATTTGTCATCTTAATATGGCCCAGCAATCACATTGTTCTATGCACCTCCATTCTACTGATGCAGAGAACATTTTTAATAGGTGAATTAGCTTTTCATGCACATGGCTCTACATTAAATGGGACTTAGGACAACGGCTGCACTTGGATTAAAGCTTTATACACTTTTACAACAGCCAGGGTTTGAGTTTAACAGACACCCCACTGCCCAAATTAAAAAATAAACACTATTTAGTAGATATACTCCCACGGAAAACAAGCATTTAATTAATTATGCATTTTTTTCATTGGGGGTATATACAGCCTGTAAATGGTGCAAATCACATCTGCAGCCTTTACATGCTCTCTTCTTCCCCAAACCCATGTTTTCTGTGATTGCCTAATAAAAAAGACTTCACAAAACAGCTCAATGATAGGTCTTTGCAAGGCAGGTGCTCTGAGCAATGGTCTGTCTCTTGAGTTTAGCTCCACTGAGCTAACAAAACTAAGAAAGAACAGGATTGTCTGATAGCCAACGGATTTAACAAGATTTTTTATTTAAATCTGTACTTTTTGTAAAATGAAAACAGATACACCCGTAACACATGAAGCACTTCAGTAAGCTAAAGTGCATTAGGGGTCTTGAGTGTCCCCTATCATGGGCCACTTACAGATGAGGTCAATATCATAAATGGAGCAGGTGAAGTTATTCCTGGTCTCTACTGCTTTTTGAACCTTAGAACGGTTTCTCATGGCCATTATTTTCTAATTCAATTGCATAGGACCTAGGGTGTAGGCCGATGGTTTACTGTTATGTTGAACAGCCTTCCATTTCTCTCTCAAATATTTTGAAGGAGTTTTAAAGGTGCTTAGCTGAGCTATCTTAAACTTAACACTGACAAGTCTAAGACTGTTAATGTACTGTTGCCCAAACTTCTTGTCTGCAGATACAATTCAGTTGCCCTCTTTGAATTCTGCTCTCTTGAATTATGCATGGAAGGGCAGCAGGCCTAGAGTTAAATTCTATCATCTTACTTATTTTCCTGAAGCAAGGTGGCTCATTTGGATCAGGTTGTGGAATGGCATACATTTAACACGTTAAGTTGCTCCCATTTATTTATACTCCCAGTTCATTCTTAAAAATTTGGTAAACAGTTGTCACTCTCAACGAATAACCCTGCCTTCCCAACAGGGTATTATGAGCGCACCTTTAGATTCTTAGACAGGGGTCCAACCCTCTTTGTGAGTACCCTCAGTTCGGATGAAGACATGTTGCCCTTACCATATTTGATCCAAGGTAGACAACCAATGTTATTGTTATAGATTGCTTTCTCCCTAGATGATCTTACACAGGCAATTTATGACCTTTGATCAATACTGTTTTTCAAGCAAAACCATTGGCTCAGGGTATATTGACCATTTATAAATTGCTTTTGCTTGTGACTCAATATCAGCATTTAAATTTGTGTCGTACTAGGACGGTGCTCTGCAGATGTCCTTCAAGGACCAAGACTGGTCCAAAATGAACATTTTGCATTTAAGCACTTTATGCTTTAAAACCCAGATTATTAACTATAAGATTATGATGAATTGGTATGACATTCTCCAAAAGTTGTAAATTTTTCACTGAAAACTCAGGCCAGTGCTGCACGTGCTGTGCAGCGCTTGGCTCATAACTACATCTGTTTTAGAAATGCCCTATTCTAGTTCCATTCTGGAAAAAAAGGTATTCAAAGTTATGACTTCACTTTAAGACAAAGGGGTGGTTTTTGCCATTAAATCTTACTACGCTCCATACTCCTAAATACATATTTTAAAAAACACAACATTTCTAACAATTGTTTAAAGAGACGCTACACATGGACTACTTTCTCTTCGAACACGCATTTTGGGGAAAATTGAAGAAACAGATTAATTTTATTAGCATCTTAAGTAGCTTATTTCATTACTGTTTTCATTGCTCCATCCATTCCAATTACTTTAATATGTGCAAAAATTAAAAAAATGCTAAATTACCTATTATTGGGAAAAAACGTTTTTAGAATGTAGAGAACCAGGACTGCTATTTGTCTATGCATAATAAAAACTACAGACCTCAAACAATGGCAGCATTTACATACAGTAGAAGTTTAATGTATATTTTAAGGACTGCAATGCAAACAATGGTAACCACCGTATACAAACTCACCTTTGGTGTACTCTGAAACACTCGCAGCTGTTGAGAATGTGGTAAAGAGGCATAAAGAGGCATCACCATCATCTGTGGGCAACCATCAGGGAGGTGCTTTGCTATGTCCCTACATGTTTTTGTCATCGCTTCAATCTCTTCCTGACCCGTCAAAAACACCAAAATATCATGAGATGGCTGTGCCTCCTTTGGGAACAGCAAAATAATTCATATAAGCATCATGACAAGTACATCAAAAGGATCATGAGAACAAGGGGTTAAAACGTGTATACTGTTTAAAGACAAGCATGTATCAATAAATTTCCCTCTACATTTTGTGTATCTAATAGATAAATCAAGTTACTCAATTCCAGTCTATTGGAGTCTATATGAGTACATTATGATATTTGTAATGGGAATATTAAATCTCATTAACTAGACCAGGGCTCAAAATTTCAACTTGCCGCTAACAAATTGCAAGTGAAAATGTAGCAGAAATTCACCTGTTGAGCATACTATGGCTTGCAGTGGCCAGTAACTTAAGGCCTGGCTAATAGCATAGGAGTTTTCATTTTTAATTATGGAACATGGGGGCGGGGCCGGACCGCCATGCTAACCGGTCGCATGCAGGAGAGGCTCCGGAGCGATCGGGCCTCTTAAGCTACAAATGGCAGATTATTATGATAACCGACAAGCCTACAAAATACACACGGCTGTGGGAGAGGTAGCGGACCCTGAGATCGGGAGCTTTGGACCCCATAGTGGAAGACCGAAGCTTCGAGGGCTGCGGCCTACTCGGGAGGGGAGCGAGGTGGACGGCCGCTGCCAGGCCTCCCTTCCCAGCTGCCACACGCTGATTGCCAGAGCAGCTTGCCGGTCCCGTTTCCCCCCCCTTTGGGCCGGGGGGGTCATCCCGGTCCCCACTGAGAAGAGAGGTGGGGAGGCTGGGGCACAAGAAACATCCGAGGCTAACCTTGCAAGATGGCGGCAGCTTCTGACTCTCCACCATCTACCCCTACAACACGGAGTCTCTCTAAGCTGCGACCAAGCCAACCACTCCGGCGGAGGTCCCCAAAGCCAGATACTCGAGGGATACAGCGCTGGGAGAGAGGGAGACCGTGCAAGTAACTGGATCCGCCGCCAGCAACAGACCCTCTCTGGGGGGGGGCCGGACACACGTGGCGAGCAACGGAGCCATGTTCGCAGCGTGTATCTACCAACTGGAGCTAAGCAGTCGGAACAGGACGTACCTCAATTCTCTCGTTATGTGCCGAGCAGCTGGGGTACCAGACCGGGGTCTAGGAAGACTGATCCTGGCATGCAAGCACAGAGACACCCGCAGCCCCAAAACATGTGGACTTTGTTAGAAACAGCAGCTACACGTAACCCACTGGCAGCTTCAGACCTAAGATGCACAGCGGTACACCGCTGCCACTTTGCCCTTTTTGGCCTCTTCTCCCCACCAGACCCCACCCAGAGCTTTGTAGCTGCGCGGGGTCCTGCTCGACTCCAGTGGTCACTTGCCTACTGGCTCACACGACCATTTAAGTTAATACCCCTCATGTCAGTGGTCTATTGCTTATAAATTTTCTACTTGGTCTTACATGCAGACATATATGATTCACAACGTTAAAAATCCATTGCTAAGAAGAATGTACATCCAATGCTTTCCCTTTTTGTCTCTTCTCTGACTACTACTATCTGACTTTAAGCTCCTGTCACTATGGCATAAATATTTACCCTTCTCAGAAAAGCAATGCCATAAGCCTTACCATAATCTAACTATTGTTGATACTTGCATAACATATACCACTAGATTGCCTTACTACGTTTAAAAAATGTTTTAAAAATGTGCTTTCACTTCTATGCCACATATGTGTACATCTATGTTATTGATGTGATTATGTTTGCTGTTGTGGCAACGTATATCCTACTGTCAAACCATGCACAACAAAAATAAAGAATTCAAAAAAAATTATGGAACATTGCTAATAAAAAAGAAATAAAATGAGGCCTGTATGTGTGGCTTTCAAAGTATGATGGGAGGGAGTGGTATATGTTAGAGACCATCTGTATGTGAAAATATACTATAAACACTACAAAGGAGGGTCTTCTAGGTGTTTGAGTGTAAAGATGGCTATGTGTCAGTCCATCATCGTTATTAATCTCACTGGTGGTAACTGATGATGCAGAGATGTTTGACACACACACACACACACACACACACACACACACCTTTATTACTGCTCTCTTGCAGCAAATAATACTGTGTGATGTAGTCAGTTTGCTTGCAATGGAAATTCGCTGTCACTATGCTATTTTGTCATACTACTTCACAGAATACATTTATTCTTAAATGCTGAAGATTACATGAAAATCTCCAGTGGTTAGTGGGTCATGCAACAGCTACTAACAGCTGACCTGGAATGACCAATGGTAAATTTAATTACCAAAAAAATTGGTTAAAAGGGGTAATAGGTTATAAAATGCATGATAATAGGATTTCTATACCAACATATTAACCACAGTAGATATAGAATTGTAGTTGTTATGATACAATTTTATAGTGCACATCTTGGAACAGGGAAGGGGTGATTTTTTTGGTTTGCACACTATGTGCTGAAACGGTAATAATCATACAGAACACTCATTAAACCAGAAAAGTATAGAACACGTTATTAGTGCTCAATAAATGTCAGTGAAGAGATTCAGGCTGTAGACGGCTAAGCAAGTGTTTTCATTGTGGTTGTTGCAGGCATTCTGTCACAAATGCCGAAGTAGTGTTTGCTTTTTAAACACGTGTATGCTTGTACAGCATACTCGTGTTGTATGTAACATCTGTTGCAAATTACTTAATGGGAAACTAAGAACCTAAACAATCTTAGCTTAACGTTGTAGGACTACAACTCCCATGATGCTGTGCATGCCTTTAGAATGACAAAGCATCATGGAAGCTGTAGTTTTAACACATCAAGGCACACCTCCAATTGGGCACACCTATCCTACAGTCTCACTGCTCAATTCTCTGCCATTAAGAAGTTAAGCCACTTAATTGCAGCTCCAGCCACACCTCTTTGGCTTAGACTCACACAGCCTCTACACATTTCCTGAAAACATAGTAATCATTTTTATGCTACCTTATTACACAAAGTTAAAAAAAAAAAAAAACAAGTTCAGTAAACAGGCTGCACTGTCTCATCTGACTGAAAATAAAACCATTTTTTTTTTAAATGTATGCCGTGTCAGTCACAGCTAGGGGAGAAGTGGTTAGGGGTACATAAACAAAAACAAAAGTGATTTAACCCCAAAATGACAAAGATATGAGCAGTGGGACTGCAGGGACATGATCTATACACCAAAAGAGATTTATTAAACGTATGCTGTTTTGGTGCTCAGAGTGTCACTTTAAATTGTTAAATAAAAAACAAGATAAGTTACATCACCAAATATTGCACACTGCTAGCAACATCATTAGATTATGTTTCACATTCGTTATTGTGATGTGTACTGCTTTTGTTGCCCAAAGACAATAGATGACATCTTCTGTTCAGTCAAGCAAGACTAGTAGAGTAGTAGTTTCCTGACCTATATGTTGCAAAGATTACGTGGTTTCAGTCGCTCAACTACCGATAATATATACATATACAGATATCGCATTCAGATTTTACACCTATCTCATGACTGCAGAGTCTGACAACCAATACCTGATGAATCTGGAAGACTGTGACCAGCGCAGCTTGAAGATAGTCACTTTGTGACTGCTTGCTGTAGAAGACTTGGATGGGATGCTGTCTACCTTCGAGGTAAAGAACCGGAGCACCGTTAAAGTACTGAGAAAACAAATCCACGTCCATTGTGGCAGACATAATCATTACCTGTAAGGTATGAAAACAGCAATTAATGGGGTGCCAGACGAGGCACATTGCAGTAATGGCACAACACTGGTAGTAAGCAGAGAGCAATATACAGCTCCTCTACTATCATAACATACTATTTAATGTGACCCTGTCATTAATTATATGGGTTTTCAGTTATCTTACCACTTGGCTTGACTCACATTATACAATTAAGTGTTTCTCCCTTAATACAGTTAAAAGCTCATGTTTTATTGTATTTCCATTACCCCTGTCTCTTGTTGAAATCACAAATCATATTTTCAGTGGGTGGTGTTTTTAGACACAATTCGACTGCATAACCCCATTTGGGAAGGACATACTTCCTTCCCGTAACAGGTTAAAAGTCACCAATACCTTATGTTGGCTTTTTTATATGTAAATAAAATATCTGTTCTCTGTCTCCATTGTCATGCCAGTTAATTCTACAATAAATAATTCTGGCACTTTTTATTGCGCTGCTGCACTCACACAGAGCCTGCCCCTCATCCTTCCTTCACCTTGCAGGCTTTGCTTTCCCTTAGGCTGAAGGGCAAGCAGAAATGATGCCCAGAGGAGGATTTCCCTTGTAACAAGACATTTTTATCTCTGTGCTGATAACCACAGACTGAATTGATTGTTTTGATGTACATATGCAGGCTACTCAAACAAACAAAATTTGTTGTTTTTTTAATTCAAACTAACTTATTGAGTATTGTTTATTCACTAGTTGCTTTGGCTAGCAATACATATTCACTACGTTTCTTGTAGTAAAGAGATCAGCCGTCCGCACATTTTTCGGATAAGCGATCCATTTGATTCTCTTTGAATGGAGGATAAAGTGGGATTTGCTGAAGCTTTCATGCAATAATTAAGAATTTAAATAACTTTGTATGATATTGTCAAAATACCTTTTCACCCTTTTAGATTAAGGCTGTTCTTACTTTGAGAGGTAGTTTCCCAAGCTCCCGTCTTTTCTTTTGTGCAGCTTTTACAACCCCAAAGAGCACATCAGTATGCACTGTTCTTTCGTGGGCCTCATCCAAAATGATGACACTATATTTACGTAGAAGTGGGTCTCCAATCGCCTCACGGAGCAGCATTCCATCAGTGAGGAACTTGATTTTTGTCTCTTCTGATGTGGCATCTTCAAAACGTACTGTGTATCCCACCTGACAAATTAAATTCATGTTTAAGTATGATCAAACAAGAAAACTGGGTCACTTTTACCTAGCAAAATGGAGGAAAGGATGACCACAGAGGGGGCAAAAAAAACACCACCACATTTACAGGGATCAGACTCCAAGTAGCATATTTCAGTTAGTAAAAATTAAACATCAATTCACACCTTTATAATGTGTGGAGCTTTACCAACCATAGCAAAAAAAAAAAAAAAAAGACTACTCAAACCTTGTGGTAAAGAGAAATCACTAGCAATTGTATAGGGCCATTGTACAAATAGATGGCATACATTGCTGTGACAGTTCTCATAGCTGCTCTAACCTTCACAATTCTAGCGAGTCTAGTTCTGAATTGCTCAGGTATCAACAATTATAATTAGAGCTTTGCATGGGACTTTATTTTACAAGCAAAAGGAAGTATAAAGCAATCTAAAAATATATGAGAGCATTATATAAATTAAAACATACATCTACTTACATGGACAGATAACTTTTTTTTTTTTTTTAAAGCCTCATTTAAAACAGGGTGACCAGATCCATCATGTTTTCAGGGACAAATAAAATGTCATATTTATGAAAATGTATTAAAGGGTTGCCCTGCAGTACATATAATGCATATTATGCAGGATTCTTCATTGCCCTATTGCTTAACTAATACACCTTCTTCTGAATTACTACAGAGAAACCATTTTCATGTGCTGCCATCAATATGTATATGTGATATGTGTCCCTGAAAACATGGTGGCTATGGTAAACACTGCATTTAATGTAAAGATATAGCCATACATTTTGGCATGGCAATATTATCATAGTCACAAAAGCCAAGACAAAATAGCAAAACTAGTGCTCATTATTAATATTTGTATGTGTGAAATCAGATTTCACAAGCAAAGCAGAATAAGAGTATTCCATATATATATATATGGAAAAGATCATAAAGAAATCAGAAGAGAAATCATGAGCGAACAAGAAGTTTAGGGGACACAAAGGGACCAAGGAAGCAATATGACAAGGCAGGGGTGTGCTGAGAAGGAATCTAAGAATCTCAAGCAATAGAACTAAGTTATTGTTAGCTTGAAAATTATTATGGCCTCCCAAAAGTGTCTAGAGGCATATCAGCCACATCTCACTGACCAGGCCCACCAAAGCCCAAAAGGTCATCTAGGTTTGCCATATTATTTGCTTCCTAGCATTACAGTTCTGAACTGCCCAGGTGGCTAGGATCATTCTGAGAGGCAAAAAGTCTAGGTTCACTTTGTAATAAAATAAATCATGAACTAAAACTTGTAAGAGACCAGAGTTTGAAATACCCAAAAGGGCATGCTTTTGAGTTGCTGTCTTTTCTCTGTTTGTTTATCAGCAAATTAAAACAGAATGCAAAAGGAGGCACACTGGTGATTAAAAAGCACAGCAGTGAAGTTACCGGTACTTACAAGTTTACTTAGTTCCGTTTTCTTCTCCTCTGAGACCCTAGTTGCAAGGGTTATAGCAGCCACCCTCCGAGGCTGTGTCACACCTATGATACCTTGCCGCCCAATGCTGGCTTCATAGAGGTACTGAGGGATCTGAGTGGTTTTACCAGAGCCTGTCTCACCTGCAAAATAAAACACCAATATTTACACAAAGTAGAACATTCATCAGACTTACAGTTATTTAGTAATTACTATTAATGGTGCTTAAAAATAAAGAAAATTGTTACTTGAAATCTAAGAGGCCAATGCTGTACAGCAAATTTAAACGCTCTAGAGATTAAAATTACTGTTCATCATTGGGCTATTAATGTTGTTCTAATAAAAAGTTTCATGTTAACATTTTTGTGGTTTTATTTCTGGTGCGTTTTCTTTGTATTCCAATCAAAATATTCCTCATTTCTCCTTATCTGTTTGTTGTTGTTATTTTCTTTTTCGGGGGGGGTGAAGGAGAGGAAGGGGGGAGTGTTTACAAATCTGCCACTTTCAAATGTATTAAAAGTATTTTCTTTATTGCCTCTGGCAGGTTTTCAGTATCGTTTTTGCAAACGTGCCTTTTGCCTAAAACGGATTACTTTTTTTTCTCTAAATTTGCATATGCTTTTTTATTCCTCAAAAGATATTCTAAGAATCAACAACTTTAGCATAGAATGACACTATAATCACCAGAACAACTACAGTTTAATGTGTTTACATTACTGCCTAGTAACACCTCCAGTGGGCGTCACTCAGACTCCTTAGTTAGTGCTGCAAATGACGTTCAGCGCCTCCATGAAGCCGATGAAGGTTCCTCATAGAGATGCATTCATTCAATGCATCTCTATGAGGAGATGCTGATTAGTGCAGAGCAGCATTTTGCTGTATAAATCAAGATTGATCATCTCAGCCATGGAGGTGGAATGGCGCAGGGCTAGCCGCAGCAAACCTGCTTGATGGTGGGGGAAAAGGTGAGTTTTACACCTTTTTTAACCACGAACCTCTAGTTTCAAAACTATAGTATCAGGAATACACATTTGCAATAGGTTTGACAACTGACTTAGAATCTGCCATGTGCATGTGGAGCTGAAAGCTTTGCAAGGACCTTCTGTTAGCTCCACTGAGCTAAACCTGGTCATGCAAGGCGGACTAACTAGCTGAAAGCCTCAGTTAGGCACTCTCAATGGTTACATTCTGCCAAGAACTAGAAACTGTCAGATTGACAGCTACTAGAGATTCCTCGTTGAAAAGTTCAATTATCTAAAGTCTTTACGTTCGGCAACATCACGCATAGTATGATGCTCCCGAAAGCCATGAATAATTCCCAAACAGAAGCAATGGATTCAGAAGTACTCCACTGACCGTGGCAATGCATTCATAATGCTTCTCAATATGAAAAAAAAAAAAAGCTAGTGTAATAACTTTTACTTACACTAGAAGATGCATTTTGCCACCTCTCACATATAGTACACATACAAACACAAAGATCATTGATTTAAAACATTTTTGCCACACAACACTTTTCCCCTCAACCATCACAAGCGACAAATGAAGGCTTGACAGAAGCAGATCCACCTATTTGTCGAATGTAGGAAAATAGTCACTTTGTCCAATGTTATCTTTTGACTGGGTTGGCATTTCGGTTAAATTCCAACACAGTCTTTATGAACTCACAGTAACATACAGCATGTATGAATGTATCAGTGAGCTCCTCCACAATAATATGCACATTGGTGTATCACAGAGCTCCACAGCTACGAAGCACAGAATAATATATTGTAAGACAGTATCACAGAGCTCCACTGTAATAAATCTCACAATATTGTAAAGTGTGGAGGCTGTGTAATGTGTGTGATGGATGTGTTGTCTGTGCGTTTTACATGTATACTGCCAGTTTCATTCCCATGCCTGGGAATGTGTATGTCAGAATGTGTACATATCTGTGTGTTCCTGGGAAGTGTATGGTTGGAATGTGTACACAATCTGTGTTTATGTTGGAATGTGTACACAATCTGTGTTTATGTTGGAATGTGTACATATCTGTGTGTTCCTGGAAAGTGTGTGGTTGGAATGTGTACACAATCTGTGTTTATGTTGGAATGTGTACACAATCTGTGTGTTCCTGGAAAGTATGTGGTTGGAATGTGTACATATGTGTGTGTTCCTGGATAGGAATGATAGGGGTTGGCCAGTGGTTTTCGTGGTGACCCAATATTTCTGTCCAGGACCAGTACTGTATAAAGCCTCCATGGTAACAGAGCTGGCCCCATTAATGACAGCACGGTGTTTTTAGCCTCTCACCGATGATGACCGCACTGTCCAGCTGCCGGAGCTGTCCTATGAGCTGAGCTCGGACATGGTAGATGGGGAGGCTCCGCCGCTGCAGCTCCATGGGCACCGGGGGCTTTCTGTGTCCGGGCTGCATGGCCGCTCTCCGGCTGGCGTGAAATGGAGGAGAGCCCGGCTTGAATCTCTTGGCCGGTGGGTGATCGGGGTCCTGAGACATATTATCCGCGGTGACCGGAACTCCTCAGGCGATGTGCCGGCTGCCGTGGCCCCGGGTACGCAGAGAACAGCCCGGGAGTATCATGTCGGCACGAACGTCGCCACACGTGCTTCCGGTGCATTGCCCTGCAATGTCCACTTACCTGCGACAGAGGGAGCTAGAGAGACAGATTCTAATCATGTGTGCAGGACCTGGGCGGGTTTAGCAGAAATTCCATCTGGATTTCTAGGCAGATGGATTGTTTGGTTGTTTGAAAGGCAAAAATGTTGATTTGGCAAAGCTCTCTAACACTGCTATTATCACCCCAGGGTTGGTTTAGGCTATATGTTACTATTCAGGTTTCAATTTGTGACAATTTCGGAGTTAAATTTTTCACAATCAGCTAGGTTTGTCTTACAGGGTTATTCACTAAAGTGAGAATTATTTTTATATAGCGCCAGCAAATTCTGTAGCGCCATACAATGAGTCACAGTGAATTTCAAATTTAAGGCAATAACAGATTACCGTATATACTCGAGTATAAGTCGACCCGAATATAAGCCGAGGCCCCTAATTTTGCCACAAAAAACTGGGAAAACTTATTGACTCGAGTATAAGACTAGGGTAGGAAATGCAGCAGCTAGTGGTAAATTTCTAATTAAAATTAGATCCCAATAAAATTACATTAATAAAATATTTTTTTACAGTGTGTGTGTATATAATGAATGCAGTGTGTGTTTGTGTAGTGTGTAGTGTGTGTATATAATGAATGCAGTGTGTGTATAATGAATGCAGTGTGTGTTTGTGTAGTGTGTGTGTATATAAAGAATGCTGTGTGTAGTGTGTGTGTGTGTATAATGAATGCAGAGTGTGTTTGTGTAGTGTGTGTATATAATGAGTAGTGTGTGTGTGTATAATGAATGCAGAGTGTGTTTGTGTAGTGTGTATATAATGAATGCAGTGTGTTTGTGTAGTGTGTGTATATAATGAATGTTGTGTGTAGTGTATGTATATAATGAATGCAGAATGTGTGTTTGTGTAGTGTGTATATAATGAATGCAGAATGTGTGTGTGTGTGTTTGTGTAGTGTGTGTATATAATGAATGTAGAGTGTGTGTTTGTGTAGTATGTGTGTATAATGAATGCAGAGTGTGTGTGTTTGTGTAGTGTGTGTATATAATGAATGCAGAGTGTGTGTGTTTGTGTAGTGTGTGTATATAATGAATGCAGTGTGTTTGTAGTGTGTGTATATAATGAATGCAGAATGTGTGTGTTTGTGTGAATGCAGTGTGTGTATATAATGCAGAGTGTTTGTGTAGTGTGTGTAAACTGGGTGGGGGAGGGCATTTTTATTATTTTTAATATTATTATTTATTTTTTTACAATTTTATTTTAATATAATTATTTTAATATTTTTTTAAATATTATTTAAATTATTTTAATACTTTTAAATTTTTTTTTTTTTGTCCCCCCTCCCTGCTTGATACCTGGCCAGGGAGGGGGGCTATATCATTCCCTGGTGGTCAAGTGGCATGGTCTGTGCAGAGGGGGAGCCGGTAGCAAGCTGTTACATACCTTGTCAGCAGCTCCGTTCAGCTCCCCTGTGTAACTCTCGCGTTTGCTTGCCACGTTGCAACGGTAACCCGTCGCAATGCTCTGATGGCCACGGGTCTCGCAAGAGTTACACAGGGGAGCTAAACGGAGCTGCTACAAAGGTATGTAACAGCTTGCTACCGGCTCCCCCTCTGCACAGACCATGCCACTTGCTGCAGGCCCCCAACAGGACCGCCGGGCTTGTAATGAGCCCGGCGGTCCTGGTCTGTATTATGGCAATGTAAGTTGCCATAATACAGACAGTAACACGAGTATAAGCCGAGGGGGGCTTTTTCAGCACAAAAAATGTGCCAAAAAACTCGGCTTATACTCGAGTATATATGGTAAATTGAGAATTATATAATTCAGTTATGCTTCCAGTTCAGCCACTTAGGCCTTAAGAGCTTCTTCAACCTTGGCAAATCTATATATATTTTTTTAGCTGAAAATTAGACGCCCTCACCCCCTTAAAATTGGTAAAAAGACATTTACTTACCTGGAATGTAACTGTGGGATAATCTCTTGGTGTTGATTTTCCATGTCTCATCCCAACATCATTCAGGACGTGCGCAGTCCAATCATAGGCTTCTCATAGACATATGGCATAGACCATTTCGTATGCGCTCTGCCTGCAAAGGGAGGAGTATTACACCTGTCTTAAGCATGCAGTGTGTGCTGACGACAGACATAAAATATGCACAGAATTGATATTAGGTAGCCCGGAACAGCTATGTCACTTGAGTTGGGATTGAAACAAGCAGAAATACTGCACGTCCAGACTTCTTCCACCATGATCTCTTCAAATCACTAAGTGGTCATGGTGGTTGGAGTAACAATTTAAATTTGAAATTCACTTTGAATTCTCACATTAGTGAATAACGCTGCAAAGTTTGCAATATGTTTTTCAGTTCATTACAGGTCACAGTTTAGCAAATAAACCATAATATCTTGCATGCTCTATGGTACAGTTGTATGCTCATTTAAAGTTTATTGTGATTTTCCACGGGATCCTGCTTTCCTAGAATAAAAACACTGGGCAGAGAGTCTTTAACGACAGAGGCAATTGTACACGCAAAATAAAACCTAGAATTTGTGCTATGTGTTTCTTTGTTCCACCGTAATTTAAGGGTTTCTCTTTAAGTGCCCCAATACATATTATATATTGTTTTTTTAAAGGACAGAAAAGGCTTTCTTTTAGGAATGTGCATGGGAAAAATATTCGGTTCGGCATTCCGAAATTCGGGACTTTGGCACTTTAGTTCGGAACTTCAGCACTTCGGAATTTCAGGACTTCAGGTAAGTGTAGGGTTAGGGTAGGGGAGATCACTAAGGGAAAGGACAGGTGGGGAGAGCACTAATGTACTGGAGGGAGGGAATATCAGTAAGGCACAGGGGGCCAAGGGAGAGCACCAAAGGTCAGGAGGGGAGGAGAGAGCACAAAGGGACAGGAGGGGAAATCACTAATTGATAGGAGGGGAGAGCACTATAAAAACATTATTTTTTTTTTTTTTAAAGAGCTGCTACCCTCTCAGCCCCTATCCTACCCCACAAACCCTCTCTTTTACACTACACACATACACAATGCATTTTTACACATACACAGAAACATACAATGCATCCCTACACACACACAGACACACTGCTTCTCTTACACACACAGAAACAAAATGCATCTCTTAGACACACTCAATTAAACCCTTACAGACACACACTGCATTAAATTACAAACACAGAAACACATCTTGCATTCCTTACACATACACACACAGAAACACACAATGCATTCCTTGCACACAAACACACACTGCATCCCCTATACACACATTACATCCCTTACACAAATTGGTATCTGTATACACTACATTCCATAAGAACACACACACATTACATCCTCTACAATAACAATAACACATCCCCTACACACATACACTCCACTCCCTGTGAGAGAACTCATGGGTGGGCCATGTAGGTGGATTTATGGGCAGGCCTTGTAGGCATACTCACGGTCAGGGCCTGGGAGCCCAGACGTTGAGCTGTGTAAGGGGCCCCAAAAATGGAGCTGCTTCCTGTTTGTTAATTGTTGTGAGCACTGTTACAAACAGTCTTCGGAGTGCCTCTTCTACACCAGACCTGTGGAGCTAGACTGCAGCCTGAGCCCATCATCATCCTATTGTCCTCATCTGGTGGTAAGTAGGCAATCCAATATATTATTAGTGGCACTAATCTCTAATTTACCTCACATTAAAGGTCCACTATAGTCACCAGAACCAGTACAGCTTAGTGGTTCTGGTGTCGATAGCCCATGCCTGCAGGCTTTTTAATGGAAACACTCTGCTTTTTCAGATAAAAGACACTTTGTGCAGAACTGGTGTTGGCCCATATGGCAGATCATATGGGTGGGGCATTGTGATGTCACATGTTGGGCAGAACATATGGGGTGGGGTGGGGTGCGGCAAAAATCCTTGCACCGGCCCTGGCTCTTACAGCCATAATACTGGCAAAGCATCAGGGGAGATGTAGTCCACAACATCCTACTCCTACTCCTGCCCCACACTATACACGAACACTATAGAGAGAGACAGGGCCGCCATCAGGGGGGTTGTCACGGGCCCCATGTGTAGCGGCGGAACTGCCGCCGGTGCAGTTGCACCAGGGCCCGCATGCTGTTGGGGCCTATCGGGTGGCCCACGTTTTAAGGCTACCCAATGGGCCCTATCTCTTCAGGGGCCCGGTCAGCGCTGCGCTGGGGCAATAGCGCGACCGGGCCCCTTTAAAAAAAATAGCAGCCGTAAAGTACTGCTGGGAGGAAGTGGCTGTCACTTCCTCCCAGCTCCGTCCGTTCCGAGCTGCGCGGGAGGCAAGAAAGCCAGGCCAGGGGAGCCACGCCGACTCCCATTAGCCACAGCCTTCCACCTGCAAAAAAAAAGGTAAGCAAAATTAGCTGTATATATGTTAGTATGTATGTATGTGTGTATGTCAGTATGTATGTGTGTATGTCAGTATGTGTGTGTGTCAGTATGTCAGTATGTGTGTGTATGTATGTATGTATGTATCTATGTATGTGTGTCAGTATGTATGTGTGTATGTCAGTATGTATGTGTGTCAGTATGTATGTATGTCAGTGTGTATGTCAGTATGTATGTATGTATGTATGTATGTATGTGTGTCAGTATATATGTATGTACGTATGTATGTATGTGTCTGTATGTGTGTATGTCAGTATGTCGGTATGTCAGTATGTATGTATGTGTGTCAGTATATATGTGTGTCAGTATGTATGTGTGTGTCTGTATGTATGTATGTATGTGTGTCAGTATGTATGTATGTGTGTCAGTATGTATGTGTGTCTGTCAGTATGTATGTCAGCATGTATGTGTGTATGTATGTCAGTATGTATGTCAGTATGTATGTATGTGTGTATGTATGTG